TGACCCTCTGAAGACGTGCATTTACGAAGTTTAGGTACGCAGACTATTTAGGTCTACTACAACTATGATGCGTGAGTGACCAACACTAGATACCTACTAAGCCGACTCACTGTAGTATACATGGAGCGTAAGGCACGCAACTTACAGAGGTCGATTACTTAATCCCCAAGACGATCGGGATTACGTTAGACTCTGTATTTAGCCTCGGCAATGCTGGTCAATTTTCTCTAACAGACTCGTGCAATCCGGCGTAGGAAACACTACCGGGTGACCGACAGCTTGTCTTCTTCATTTTAACACAGTTTCTACGTCTTTTAGCTGTAGCACACAACTCACCCTTCACAAACAGCCAGATATCGCGGGGATGTTGGTAGAAGCCAACCAAGTCTCCCGAAGTTGTGTCGAAAATTCATCCCTAAATGAGTCACCAGATAAGATATAACTGCCCAGCCTTCAGAATTCGCATGTTTTTACTGTTGCGTCCCCATTTTAGTATGTTAGGTAGCTTTCACCAACCCAGCCCAGTATCAGTAATTTGCACCTCGTAGGTGTAAAGCGAATGCCAAACAGGGATGCAATAGCACTAAACGATCCACAAAAGCTTACAACTTGTATTTTGCACACGCGATGACGTTCTTCAACTATGCGGTATGGACCTTTCTATCTAGAAAGCAACTTCCTCGAGCAAGCGCCGCTGATGAATCTCCCAATATACCACCTATACTTTAATTTAGATCAATCGGAAGCACACTGGCCGTCCGTTTAGTTTGTATTCTGGATCTACGCACTGTGTCCTTCTATACGTTCCTCAGATACTCCCGGACCTCAAATACTGCCAGCTGCTGGGGAGATAAATCATTTCGATGCAAAATACCAACCTTCAGATCCACTGGTAGCTTTGGCATTCTTCCATACATCAGTTGAAATGGTATATGTTTGGTACCGAAGGGAGGGGTCGGACGGACGGTACGCTAAAAGTAATGAAGGCGGGGCCGTTGTTTTGTGCGTGATAGGGAGTTGTACATTCCATTGTGGCTTTTTGATCCGCGACTCCTACAGTTTCCATCCAACGCGTGAAGTGTTCCGTCCTTAAAATGTATTGGGGTACTCTGGGATAAATCGGGAATGAACCTATAAGGTTAATGGACCATAACTCACCTATCTCAGATACTGGTATTGACTGATGTACGAGTGTCTGACTTGAAAAGTTGGCATTTTTAACAAGGCAGCACTTGGTTTGTCACTCCAGCCTGCATATTTGGCCAATGTGTCCACTATCGAAGCAAATCGTAAGTTCACGCGCAGCCACTGTGTCAGTTCATAATTTTCTTTAATAACGATTTGGTGCAACTGATTCGGAATGACAACTACAGGGCACCTTCTTCCTGGCTGTAGTTTCATCAAGACAATGGTGGCATTCGAGTAAAGCCTCTTCCATACTCATACAGTCTGTTAGCTTTATTCGGTTGCTCAACAGGCCATCCTGGGTTAACGGGTGAAGCCTTCGACTGAATTATACCAGTTATACCAGCACCAATCCCACATAGAATCTCCATTTAGAAGCAAATAGAAGATTAAATGATCGTGATAGTCCAAGGCCATAGATCCGTCATTATTGCGAGTGAAGGGAATGCTTGCATCGGACAGCCGAACACATGTAGTGCACGCAACACAGTCACGGGAAATTCGTTTGAACGATATTGTTATCACAACAAACAATATGCATGGAGCGAAGTAAAAACTCACCAAAGGGTCTATTAATAGAAATATGACTGCTTTATCGCAATCAATGCCCCAGCGGAACAAATCCGAACGTAAAACCAAACACGATGCACGAGAAAAGTAATTCTTCTGTTGAAATCGCTTTACTTGCACTAAATGACGAGGAGCTAAGAAAATAGGCCATCTGGACTGATAGAAAATCCACCAAAACGGATGAAGACGACGCGCAGATTGGTCCTGATCCAGACGTGTAGGGCGGAGAAATGTGGTATTAATAACAGAACTATCCATCTCAATTTCTGAGTAATTGTCGTGGCTAACTTCTTCAGCATCCGCTGGGTCCATCCAGTCAGCAGATAAAGCCTCCACCCACGATTCCGCAGTTTCCGCCGGTCGCTCTTCAGTTTCTGAACGTTCTACTGGACTTGGCTCACGCTCACTCGGTTCAGGTTGACCGTCTCCCTCAGGCTCAACCCGTGATGGTTCCAATTCTTGCACCTCTGGAAAGCATCGGTTGTCACTCGGCCCACCTTCAGAAAATGGCGACTGAATCATATCTGCTCTGAGTTCAAATGAAGGGTTATCATCATAAGGTTTCAAATAAAACAACGACTGCGTTTCATTCAGATGATATTCAGGGAGAAGAGACCAAAAGCCACACGAACAAGTCTGTTTACTTCCACAGCTTAATGCGATGTGTTCACTAGCAGATAAATTGAAAGATCTTACATCGTATTCGTAAACTAAGCATCGCTGGGTGTAACTGCTCACTTCCATGTAGTAATATCGACGAAAGTCGGACAGAACGTTTTCTGTATTTGCAATAGCTGATATTGGTTTTATTGTTAGATGACGTATATAGGCATAGTCAATGGCGAATCCATCCCGTGAAAAATGTGTCCAATCATTGTATTGAGACGGTGCGACGGAACTGTACTGTCCGGATATTGCTCGATGAAAATAATTGCTGATTCTAGACACCTGTTGAACGGGGGAGCGGACAAGCTCCGTTGACTCGATCTGAAAGAATCGAAAACCACAATTGTTGAATTTATATGATCAGTCGGTGAGAACAGTCAATAACTTCTCACGTCGATGCACTGATTCGTATGCGAGGTATGGCTTACAGGTTAACCCGAAGAGCACATGAGTGAAGCAGTGACATAAATATCGAAATAAAAACATAAAAAGCAAACAAACTAGAAGGGTGTAGAAAGTGCATAAATGCTCGAGCATCACTGTTTACGATCCTAAATCGAAGGCTTTAAACCATAGAATGGATTGCACATACAATCAACAACAACAAAGCCCAAGGTGGCCCGTACGGTCACAATCGACTTTGGTTGAACCACTGCATGAATCACAATTCATCCGAACTTTCGGGTTCATTACTTTTCGTTTGTTTTGCCTCACAGATCCACTGTAAATGCCAACCTAAGGAGGACTTGCATTCCAGTGCTTCCTTGCAATTTAACCTCCCTGTTGCTCTGCAAAGCCGTAGCCCCGAATTTTCGCCATCCGTCGCCCGTTAGGCATCGCATCGGTTAAATTCACCGTGAGAGCTGAGAAACATTCTGTCGAACATTCGTGTCGACTCCGCAGCACTGCGCGAGCCCGAAGGACGATCGCATTACAAGTGTACGATCCCGATTATCTAGCATTCTTCTGCTCATTTCAGCGTTGATTGTTCAACTGTTTCACAAGAAGTTTGCAGCGTGACTGAATATACCATGGTACGAACAACTTTCAGGAATAGGAAAAGCACGAATGAGAGAACTGTTAGCGATCTGATCTCTACCAAATTTCTGTTTGGGACTGTGTCAATTGTTTTCTATCAAATACCAGTAAAACCTACTTTGTGTCCGTTTCTAGAAAAACAGGAATCTTCCTCCTGTCAACCAGTAAATTTTAACTCAAACGTTCTCCATTCCACAGATTCATGCAACCTGTTGCAATTATCCTCATCTTGTCTCCTATGGTCACTAAGCCTCTACTTTACTATAGTACAGCTCGCGAAATTGGTTTGTCTCTTTCGCTCCAGACGTGTTCTCACCCGTACTCATCTCCTCCCACTCTATAAAGCTCAAATTCGCCAAACACTTGAAAACTGTAGTCGAGCGGGATGGGGTTTCATTCACCCCTATGTCTCTTCTTGATTGTTTTCAAATTAAGGCCAACAGTCCCATCAACGACCGGTCCCTAACATATACCTACATCCAATTGCTCACCGTCGAGCAGTTACTTTCTTATCCTCAATCTACCGATACCATTTTGGTTTCTGTTCTATCGAACTTGCCTCTCCCCCCGCCCACACATTTTCTTCTTAGGTCCCGTACACAAGCGGCTAATCACTCAATACAAGTGACTATCCACAGGGTTCACATTTTTAACTTTGAAGACTGCGTACTTTTTTTCTCTTTAGGTCTTTGCTCCCAACTACAACATCCGTATCCTCACACTGAAATCAATAAGCAGGTTATGGCTTGAATGTTCCCTTTATCTCGCTTGTATTTCGGGGTTTAGCTGGTTTTCGGTATTGACTTCTGTGCAATAAAATCAACCTGCTTGCTGCATCATGTAGTAATACTAGCCGGAGCCATTCGGTGGAAAAACATATCTACGAATGTTTAAGAAGAGCGTAAACACTACGATCCCTGGGTTGAAACCAACCGCTACCTGCTTAGAAACTTTTGTCATTCACGATACAAGCAATTTACTGAACGTAGAGATTATCCATACTAATCTTGAAAGCAAGAACAAATCGGTGGAAAATTTGTTCCATTATTCTCCTAACTTATCACTTATGACAGTGTTTCTGTCGTCCCTACACGAGGTTTGACCATCTCTAAACAACCTTGTACACCAGGATAAACCATGAGAATGGTTTCATGCTTGCCAGACTGTATTCCATGAGCTGAAGTGAATGCCAGCATCCAATCTGATGGTGATGAATTACAGCCTCAATTTACCTGTCGTCATCAGTTTAAATACGGCGTAGGTGCGGCCATTTCGCTTAAATTTCCGGAGGGCTCTTCGAAAGCCATTGACTATGCCTATTGCACAGTGCAAGCCACACAGAATCAACAGGCTACTAGAGAGAGGAATCCTCGAAATAGTATTTGCTGTGAGGATCGTCCACAGAAATTTCATCCACCACTGATCACAAACCGCAGTTGTCATTTTGGTAAGCTCACCCAATTGGTTGAAATCAGGGCAACTACGCCTATGAGTTACCAATTCGACATCCAGAGTTACCGTACAGTAGACCTGGACCAAGCGGACGGGCTATTTCGTCCTATTAAAAGTTGATGAAAAACGAGGGATAGTGGTTGTTAAGCCATGCAACTGGAAGATAATTTTTAAACACAGAATCCGACAGAATCCGTGGCATTCCGGTCACAGCCTAAAAGGATGTGACAACCCAGTCGCGATGCCTTGACCGAACAAGGGGAACGTCATTGAAGACTTGCTCCGCTCTACTGAAGTTGATGGCAGCACAATGTGGACCGACCGTGTAATAGTCCTATCGTCGCTGCGTCGCATCAAACAACACAAAAGCCATTCCGAAAATCCATGCAATTCTCTCTAGGTAACGTTTATGGGCTCGCCAAGGGAATTGATATACAGACAGAGTTTCGGTTTGTACAACCATTAGGTATGCACTTTCGTGCGCCGGTTTTGGTTGCTGACATTGGGGTGCCCAGCTGGATGAACAGTAGGAGAAAGACAGGAAAGTGGAACTGAATAGAAAATGAAAAACTCCAGTGGACTAAGTTTGCAAAGAAATCGAGAAGATGCACGAAGGCCACTGTTTACGACACTTGCTCCAGTGGGCGACCGCGGTTACCTAAAACTCTACACCTAACCTCAGTATTGCTCGTCCGGCTGCTCCACCAGCTTCGTGCAATGCTGCGTAGACAGTGGTGTTCAAGCAACGAAAGTCTACCTTTATCCTGTTTTCGTAATGGCCAAGTTTCCGCGCCGCATAGCACAACTGACCGAACTGCCACAGCATACACTCAGCCCTTAACAGACAATTGGATGTCTCGACGGCGCCACAGATGTCTCAAGTTGGCAAATGCCAACTGAGCCTTCTGTGTGCGAGCTAACACTTCATCCGTGATGCGTCCACCGGCTGAGATGTAGCTGCCCAAATAACAAAACTTACCCACTCGATTAGTTAATTCCGGAGCTAGAGTTAGCCTGGGTGCTGGAGCGAGCCAGCACTGTAGCAATATTTCAAACTTGGAAGGTGCAAGACGCATGCCGAACATGGCTCTGCTGATACTCAAGTTATCCAGAAAAGCTTGCAGCTTACCTGAGTCTTTACATAGCAGCACCATATCATCTGCGTACTCCAGATCATACAGTCTGTTTCCTGGAAGTAAATCAATGCCACTATTCTCGCACGAGGATGAAATCTATAAGAAAGTTAAATAAAAAAGGAGCTACAAGGCAACCCTGACGAACACCACTTTCCGTGGTGAACTCGGGTGAAAAAAGTGCCGTAAGCTTGGATTCGACTTCGGCTACTAGTATAAAGAGATTGTCATATGGAAATAAACTTGAAGAGAGAAGTCAGAAACATGGGTTTGCACAATGTATTCATGGTCAGTTCGCTGCATCTGTACACAGGCATACTGCAGTCAAAGTGATTTTTTATAGTCAGTAAGATCATAAATGTGAGACGAAAACAAGATCGCAAATCACAACGGACAACACAACACAACAAACTAATCACTAGACTTCGATAAATTTCTCAGGCACATCCTTTGGGGAGAGGTAGCACCAGACTTTAGAGTGGTCAACTGAGTCCGAAGCCGCATTCAGATCGAGGAGGACAGACAGGATGGGTCTACGAAAAGAATGTCGGTGCTATGGAATTTGGTGAAGAATGAAGATTTGGTCGATATAACCTCAAACAGGTACCAAACCAGCCTGAATCTTCCGAGTGCATAGTTCACGTGCTCCACACAATCGACGGAGTATAATCCCAGCGAAAGTTTAGACGTCCTGTCGATTACATTTATTCCTCTGTGGTTTCGACAAGAATATCTGTCACTTTTCTTCTAAACCGGTACGATGATCAATCTTGTGCGCGAAGTTCGTGCTTGACAGAAACAGTCCGTGGTCAGCGCAGCGTTAGAGTAGGCGTTCTACGTTATCAGTCCGATTAGCTGGGATTGCAGGTGG